ATCATCGATTCAAACATTACAAAGAATATAACATTATATGCAAAAAGGAAATAAAGGCTGCAAAATTTGAAAAAGAACGACAGATTGCAAAAGATAGCAGAACCAACCCTAAAACTTTCTTCAAATATAATAATAGTAAAAAGGTCTGGTCTGAGCATGTAGGACCTTTTTAAATATAATCTATAGTGGGTGACTGGGGACAAAGAGAAGGCAAATTTATTAAATAACTTCTTCAGGATTGTGTATACAAAAGAGCATGGGGGAGCTCTAGTCCATAATTGACATGGTATTGATCCACATTGGCTTAAATTTAGACAGAATAAAAGTTAATAAAGCACCTGGACTAGATGGCGTACACCCACGGGTCATTAAAGAATTGAGCTCTGTTATATCAAAGCCATTGTTTCTCATTTTAGGGACTCTTTAATGATTGGCATAGTACCACTGGATTGGCGTAAGGCCAATGTGGTGCCAATATTTAAAAAGGGGTCAAAATTTTTACCAAATAATTATAGACCTGTTAGTTTAAATTCTATAATTGGGAAGATACTGGAGAGTTTAATACAATACCACATAGATTAGTTCTTGCTGGAAAAAATATTTTAAGCAACAGACAGCATGAATTCATGAAATACAGAAATTGTCTGATTTCATTTTATGAGGAGATGAGCAAAACCTTGGCCAGAGGGGTGGCGGTGGACGTGGTATACTTGGACCGAGAGGTGGCTGTGGACATGGTATACTTGGACAGAGGGGTGGCGGTGGATGTGGTATACTTGGATTTTGCAAAAGTGTTTGACACAGTTCCCCACACATGGCTAATGTGTAAGGTAGAGTATAAAATTTGTATGTAAATGGATAGAAAATTGGCTAAAAGATTGTATTCAAAGAGCAGTGGTTAATTATTCATACTCTGAATGGTCTAGGGTCATCAGTGGTGTACCCCAGGGTTCAGTGTTGGGACCCTTATTTTTTAATATATTTATAAACTATATAGGATCTGGGATTAAAAATACCATTTCAGTCTTTGCAGATGACACCAAGCTGTGCAGTGGAATAACGTCCTTACAGGATGTCTCCAATTTACAAGCCGACCTCAATGCACTGTTTAATTGGGCAACTATGTGGCAAATGAAGTTTAATGTTGATAAATGTAAATTTATGCACTTGGGGGCTAAGAATATGCATGCATCATACATACTAGGGGGGGTACAACTGGAGGTATCAATGGTGGAGAAGGATCTGGGAGTTCTGGTAGATCACAAGCTTAATAATAGCATGCAATGCCAAGCTGCGGTTTCTAAAGCGAGCAAAATCCTCTCTTGTATTAAAAGAGGTATAGACTCCAGAGAGAGAGATATCATATTACCCCGATACAAATCATTAGTAAGACCTCATCTGGAATATGCAGTTCAGTTTTAGGCACCAATTCACAAAAAGAACATTGAAGAACTGGAGAAAGTTTAGAAAAGGGCAACCAAACTGATACGAGGCATGGAGGAGCTCAGCTATGAGGAAAGATTAGAGGAACTGAATTTATTCTCTCTTGAGAAGAGGGGATTAAGGGGGGGATATGATTAATATCAGTGGTTCATATAGTGAACTCAGTGTAGAGTTATCCACCCTGAGGTCATCACAGAGGACAAAAGGCACTCTTTACGTTTGGAGGAAAATAAATTTAATCTCCAAACACAGAAAGGTTTCTTCACAGTGAAAGCTGTGAGAATGTAGAATAGACTCTCTCAAGAGTTGGTTCTGGTCAGTTCTGTGGATTGCTTCACAAAAGGCCTGGATTATTTCCTAGATACACAGAATATAACTGGATACTAACATTTATAGGTAAAGTTGATCCAGGGAATATCCGATTGCCTCTTGGGGGGATCAGGAAGGAATTTTTTCCCCTTTAATGGTTGAACTGAATGGACTTTTGTCTTTTTTCAGCTAGACTAACTATGTAACTTTGTAACCCCCAACAGCAAGTGTTAACAAGGCCTAAAAGAGAACAGTGATAACATTAAAGCGGTATTAAACCCAAAAATAAAAATTAGGGATGCACTGATACCGATATTGGTATTAGTGCCGATACTCGTACTTGTGAAAATACTCCCGATACCTTCACCAATACTTTGCAGTGCAATTTGCATTAATAGATGCAAATTGCATTGCAAAGATTAACATGCGATTTGAACAGAAATGTGATTCCTGTCCAAATCACATGCAGTTTCCACACTACTACTGTGTTCAAACAGGAGATGTGCGGGAAACCTCCCTGCAGGTATCCTATGCTAAGTCTCAGTGGTAAGAAGGGAGAAAAAGTGATGGATATTTCAAATTCCTGCCCCTTTCTTTCCTCTCCTTGCTGGGATGACAGTTCGGGCTAGAGGGCTGTTGACTGGTCACCACATCACATGGACAGGGCTGACCAATCAGATGCCATCTAGCCTGAACTGTCATCCCTGCAAGCAGAGGAGAGAAAGCCATGGGGACTTGAAATCCCCCGACCTGTGAAGCAGCCTTCTGCAATCTCCTTTCAAAGACGACAGTTTGGGCTAGACAGCATCTGACTGGTCAGCACTGTCCATGTGATGGTGCTGCTGACCAATCAAAAGTCCTCTAGCCTGAACTGTCATTGCTGCAAGGAGAGGAAAATAAGCCCTCTCCTCTCTTAACACTGAGACTTAACATGGGATGCCTACAGGGAAGTTTACTGCACCGCTCCTGTGTGAACTCAAGCTATGACAAGCCCGAGTTTACACAGAAGCAGTCGGGAAACAGCATGCGATTTGAACAGGAATTACACGGCACCACCTGCCTGGAGTTTGCATGTTCTCCCTGTGCCTGCATGGGTTTCCTCTGAGTACTCTGGTTTCCTCCCACTGTCCAAAGACATGCTGGTAGGGGAACTGGCTCCTGTCTAAAATTGGCCCTAGTATGTGTATGTATGAATGTAAGTTAGGTACCTTAGATTGTACACCCCTTGAGGGTTAGGGACTGATGTGAATGTAGAATATATATGTAAAGTGCTGCATAAATTGATGGGGCTATATAAGTACCTGAAAGAAAGAAAAAAAGAAAAGAGCTAAGGAGACACCTTCGGGCAGCAGCATTGTCAGTCTGGGAAGAGGTAGTTTTAGATGCCCTAGAAGAATTAGATGGACTTGACTACCAAACTAAGGGGCTCATTTAAACATGTCGGGGCGGTTGGTAAAATCTGGCAGTTGAGCCGTGTTTTACTGTCCTCCCAACTGCCTCATTTAAGCTGCAAAGGCAGCTGGTCGGGGGTTGTACGCATGCCATGGCTGTAATGCTCTGCTTTCCAGCCACAGCAAAAATAATAACCCCTGTCACTATCAGCGGGCAGTACTCCTCCAAACACAACTCATTCAAGTGAATGGGGCTGTTCTGCAACTGCATGTATTGCACACTGTTGCAGCATGGTGGTGCAGCATTTGCAGGGTTAAAACAGGTGGTGAGGAGGTGACAAATTGCCTTTTAACGGCCTGTCAAACACCTCTGAAGAGCAATCCACAGCGGAATGCTTTTCAGAGGGGCAGCAGGGTCTGCTAAACATCTAAACTTAGCCATAAAGGCATTATGAGCCTTCCTACCTGCACCATGTGTCTTTCACCTGCATGAGCATTGCATTGGTCATGGTATCATTTGTTGCCCTGTACACACAGTCTATAGTAGACTACATTTTCACATTCATGTGTCAGTGTCCTGTTCATGCTACTGCAAAGATTAATGTGTGGCCCCTCCGTCTGTACAATGAGAATTGATATTTCCTGTAAAGAAACTACATATGTTACAATCCCTGGGTTTTCTCAGTCCATGTGGGTGAGAGCTCAACAGTAATTAGGTCTGACACAGACACAAACAGGCAGAGCAATTATTAGAGAGTTCAGGATACGGTGCTTCATATCATTTGCACTCCGACATTCGTGATTCAACATGGAGGAGACAGCGAGCCATACATTAGCTGAATAGGGACAGGCTGGCTGCAGCAGTACATAGACATAGGGGAATTAATCAACCATGAAATTACAAACTGCAGGAGCAACGATAAAGTGTTTCTAAACCCACAACAGTAAAATCAGTCTGTATATGCAGTAAAACATGCTTGCTATGCTCATTGTGGAACCTAAGGGGTTAACCCTCTGCATTGTATAAAAAGGCTGTTTGATCCTTTCTTCTCTGCCCCTAATCTTGTTGAAATGATCACCTGATATAGACTGAACCCATGATCACATGCACATGCTCAGTTTGGTGTGTATTGCTAGAGAGTTTAAAAATTATGTAAAAAAATGTTTGCGCCGCTACCAGAAAAGATGGGACAATTGGAACAGCAGCACACATCTGGCTATACCACCAGCAAAAAAACAATGAACAGAAAATTGATGTTGCTCTAATCACAATAATGCCACAGACATTCCAAAACAAATAATGACACGAGAAGACAATAGATAATACACCATAACATAATTAGTAAATGGAAGGAATATGGGAGTGAAGGGAAAGGTGAAATAATAAAGGTCCAAAATGAGGACCAAAAGGTGTAACAGACAATAAACCGTGACTGTGGGCAAAATGCACGGAAATGATCAGGGAAAAATAAAATATTAACTAAATCGCAGTAATAGTGGGACATACGAGTCCGTCATAACATAAATGAAATAACATGAATACAACTGATGAGAAAGTGGAGCAAAATGTGAAAAATACAAAATGAAGTGCTTAAATATTAAAAGTGGACAAATCACTTATCACAGAAGAATGACAATAACAACGCACAGTGATGCCAAAATTTTTTGTCACATTTTGCTCCACTTTCTCATCAGTTGTATTCACGTTATTTCATTTTTGTTATGACGGACTCGTATGTCCCAATATTACTGTGATTTAGTTAATATTTTATTTTACCTGATCATTTCTGTGTGTTTTGCCTGCAGTCATGGTTCATTGTCTGTTACACCTTTTGTTCCTCATTTTGGACCTTTATTATTTCACCTTTCCCTTCACTTCAATTTTCTGTTTGTTATTTTTTGCTAGAGAGTTTTTTTTTTTTTTCTTGGGAGGGTGCATGTGATCAGCACAGGGCCAATCAGCACTGTCCAGACCAGGGGCGGACTGACCATTTGGAAACTCTGGCACTGCCCGAGGGCCCAGGGTCAGTAGGGGGCCCCATGAGATGCCCCTGGTACCTTTTTCATAGGCTTTTTTGAGTTTGGGCAAGGACACAGGGGCCCCATGATCCCCTATTGCCCGGGGGCCCCATGAGTTTTCAGTCCGCCCCTGGTCCAGAGAGAGGTCATGGGTTTTGCATCTTCCTAGAGCAGAAAGAATACTCCTACTACAAGCTTTAGCTAGTGCTTGGCTGAATACTGAAGTCAAAAGACTGCTCTGATGTCTGATGAGAAAAGGTATTTAGCAGTTTATATTTACGATAAACGAGTTAAATAATTGCATTTCCATGTTCTGTGTACTGTGGGAGACCAGATATAGTGGATGCAGGGTCCTGGGTTTTGTAAAGCAAACAAATGAAAGACATTTAACTACATTAATCCCTAAATAAAATAACACAAACTTTTGAAATTGTACAGTAGTTTTAAACCAAACTTCAGCTAACAATTTGTAAGCAGTTACAGCAATATTATTTTTCCTTTTGTGTTAAAGGTTTACATAAAAAAAAATAAAAGCTGATTATTGTAAGTACTCCTCTCAGTGTTAGATGGTTTGTCTTAATCCTCTAACTGTTCTTTTCCTTGACAGCTTGGTTTGTTAAAGAAAGTTGAAAAAACAACAGACTTCCTGTCCAGATCAACAGGTGAAAATAAAAAAAAGCCTAAAAAAAGAGAACTAACTCAGCTACCACAACTAAGAATTAATAGGCTGCAATATAATGAGATTAAAGTACACTGAAATATTTCTCGGATACCATAAGCAGTTTATTGGTTGATTTTGCCTGTTATCTGAAACTGATCCAAAAATGAGTTTTCATTTAAAATGTTAGTTGAAAGCACAGGTTAGGATTCAGTTCCATTTTTAATACAATCATGTAATGTGATTATCTCACATGCTGGTTTGGGATTCTCCTGACACACAAGTGCTTTTCACTACTAATTGTATAAAAAAATTGATGGCACCACATGCTAGAAAAGAACAGATGTACAGCTACCGTTCTTAGAACTTTCTGTAGATGAATGCGATCATGAAATTAGCATACACACTGCTGTTCAAACAGTAAGAAATGAAGAACTTCTATAAGATTCTATTTTAAGCAGCATCATACAGTTTACAACCAGCTTTTAATACAATCTGAACTATGAGTATTGTGGTGTCTGGTCTGGTGCCTCTCTTAGAAGGGTATCCCCCACCTTCTGTTCATGTTACAGGGGACTAGAGAGGCGTGAAGTATGGGCCATTTATATTAATAGGGACAGGAACAACAATAAAAACACTTTTTTAGAGTACATGGGTTGGCATCCCTAAGGGCCATTTCACACCTGAATCACTCAGGAATGCAGTCAAGTGCAATTCCTATGGGACTCAGTTTGGTACAATTTTCTGCCAATTCATTTAAATGGGGATGAAATTGCATTGGATTGCACCGAGAGTACCCATATGGAAGAAAAATATATTTGAAATATATTCTTCCCAAATATATTGCCATATATTTGAAATGCTACAATTTTGACCATATTCAATATATTTAAAAAAAAAAAAAATTATATATATATATATATACAGTATATATATATAATTATTATTATTATACAGTATTTATAAAGCGACAACAGTTCGCTCAGCGCTGTACATTACAATGGGAGACAGAACAATAACAATACAATGCGATACACGAGGGGTTCGAGGGCCCTGCTCCTTGGAGCTTACAATCTAGGAGGGAGGGGATAGTGGTACAGGAGGAAATAGCTGGGGGGGATGGAGTGGTAGGAAGAGTGGAGGAGGTCGGGAATTAGCAGGGGGTGGGGTAGGCTTCCCTGAAGAGGTGGGTTTTCAGGGTGCGCCTAAAGGAGAGGAGAGTAGGTGATAGTCTGATGGATTGGGGTAGGGAGTTCCAGAGTATGGGTGACACCCTGGAGAAGTCCTGGAGGCGGGCATGGGAGGAGGAGACTAGGGAACTAGAGAGAAAGAGACCTTGTGAGGAGCGGAGAGTGTGTGTAGGGTGGTACTTGGATATTAGGTCAGTGATGTAGTACGGGGCAGTATGATGGACAACTTTGTACGTCAGTGTTAGGATTTTGAATTTGATCCGTTGGGCAATCGGAAGCCAGTGGAGGGATTGGCAGAGGGGGGTGGCGGAAACAGAGCGGTTTGTAAGGTGGATGAGTCTGGCTGCCGTATTCAGGATCGACTGAAGCGGGGATAGCCTGTGGCGAGGCAGGCCAGTGAGGAGGGAGTTGCAGTAATTGAGTCGTGATATGATGAGGGAGTGGATGAGTTGTTTAGTGGTTTCTGGGGTTAGGAATGGGCGTATTTTGGCGATGTTGTGGAGGTGGAGTCTGCATGAGTTTGTTAGTGATTGGACTTGGGGCTGGAAGGATAGATTGGAGTCAAGAATGACACCAAGTACTCTGGTCTGCAGGGCGGGCCTGATAGTGGCATTGTTGGGCGTGATGGAGAAGTCAGTGGGGGGTGGTGCGCGGGCTGGGGGAAGACTAGGAGCTCGGTTTTGGAGAGGTTCAGTTTAAGGAAGTGGAGCGACATCCAATCTGATATGTCATTCAGTAGGCTTGTGATTCGGGCGGAGACTGAGGGGGTGAGGCGAGGGGTCGAGAGATAGATTTGCATGTCGTCGGCATAGAGGTGGCAGTTGAAGCTGTAAGGGTGTATGAGTTGGCCAAGGGAGGAGGTGTAGATAGAGAAGGGGCCCGAGGACAGAGCCTTGAGGGACCCCAACAGAGAGGAGGAGCGAGGGGGAAGTGGTAGCGTTATAGGTAACGCTGAAGGAGCGTTGTGATAGGTAGGATGAGAGCCAGGAGAGAGCGGAATCTCTGAGGTCGAGGGAGTGTAGTTTTTTGAGGAGGAGGGGGTGGTCAACTGTGTCAAAAGCCGTGGAGAGGTCGAGGAGTATGAGCACTGAATAGTGGCCATTAGCTTTGGCGGTTAGGAGAGTTTGAGTAAGGCGGTTTCGGTGGAGTGTAGGGAATGGAAGCCAGACTGTAGGGGGCTTTTTTTAGATATGAAAAAAATCAGAAGAATATATTTTAAAAAATATGTTTTTAAAAATATATTCTTCAGATTTTTTTTAACATATAAAAAAGTCATTTTAACATATATTTTTACATATATGTGTAAATGCATTCCAAAAATGTAGATTTGTATTTTTAAAGACATACAGTGTATTTGCAATGCATTTTTAAAAATATTTTTCAGATATTTTGTAATAAAAACGCAGTTCAACATGCAGTGTGTATATATATATATATATATATATATATATATATATATATATATATATATAAATATATTGAATATAGCCAAAATTGTAGTATTTCAAATATATGGCAATATATTTGGGAAGAGTGTTTTTTAAAAATATATTTCTTCCATGTGGGTAGTGCATGCACTGCTTTTCAAAGACACACTGCAGGTGCTGTGGTACCATGTGATCTAGTGCAGGCAACTGCACTGCATTGTGGTCTGCATTTGGGGTGTCATTAGAAATGGACACCTGCAGAGGATCACACACCCAGTACATTTTGTACATGGTGTGGGAAATGTGCATATAACTTGGGTTTCCCACACCACATTCCAAAGTGAACAAGCCCTTAAACTGGAATTCCTGCATGACACTAATGCGATTGTGACAGTTGCACTTTGTCACAAGAGCAAATTAACATTCTATGTAAAGAACTGAATTTCGCACCCACCTTTTAACTACACTTATAGACATTCATAACTTTGCCCATTGACTTCCTATTAAGGAACATTTCTTGAAGACTAAGGCTCCTCTACGTCCATCTTATGATTTTTCTTCCAATTGTTCTTATTCACCTATAGATTTTGACTTTCAAGAATTTTGTTTGATTCACGATATGAGCACTTTACACATGTCTGGTTATTCTGGAATCCGTATGCATGATAAGATTACCATTTTGTCATCTCTTCTACTTCTAAATTAGATTTTTCCCTATAAACACCAGGGGTAAACAACTGGACATCTTCCAAAAATTAGTTGAACAAGACCTTGTGAATCTAGTGAAATCAATGAACATTTCTACCAAACATTGCCATAACCTTACCATATCTGAAAGCAAAACTCTAAAATCTCTACAAGAAGATCCGACAATTGTGATAAAAAGATCAGACAAGGGAGGAGCTGTTGTAATAGTCAATTCCTTTGACTACCCTAACGAGGCCCTGCGACAACTCTGCTGAAGAAACCTAAGCATGTCTCTCCTCTGATCCCACTTTCAATAAGGAACAACTACATTTCATTGTTAGTGAGGCTGTATCCATATGGATCTTGACAGATTCAGAGGCCAGGACGTTTGTTACTCTCTCATCCAGAAGTATCTACTTTCCATTACCTTCCCAAGACACACAAAACTGAAGTTCCACGTTTAGGCAGCAAATGCATTGGTTCTCTAGATGAACCACATGAAAACCTGATGGATTTGTAATGCAGGCCTTGGATAATAGAATTCCCTTTCACTTACGTGACAATATACAGACTGTGCAAGCATTTGAAAGCTTACATTGCAATGAAAGTATGAAATGGCTGACTTGTGACTTCAGATCCCTAGATTCTAGCATACCTTCCAACTGGGGTCTCCGCTCAACCAAACACCATATGCATCTTTATACCGAATACTCCCCTGGATTAAAATGGTTCATTTTGGAAGGGGCGTCCTTCATTTTATACCATAACTACTTTCTTTTTAATGAGAAATGGTATGTACAAAAACAGGGGGCCTCTATGGGTGCCAGGTTCTCCTTCACCTATGCCAATGGGTTGGTGGGAGGAATATTATATTTACAATGCTAGTAATTAATTTAGGGATTCCATCATCACATATTTTTGCTGCATAGATAATTTGATCTTCATTGTAAACTGACTTATCCACCATTGAGTTTTTTAATCATTTAAACAGCAATCCTTTAAATCTAAGGTTTGCATTTGAAGAACATCATACTGAAATAAATTATCATGGCCTTACTATGTCTGGCTCCGTT